GCTCTTCCTCCAGAGACCCCATTTTGTTTGAGACATGTCCTGGAAGCTGCTTCCTCCACGAGCTGCACTGGCCGTGCCAGAGGGAGGTTATTTTAGGAGATGCAGAAGCATGATGCAAGGGTGCGGGCAACTATTACATGCATAAATATAGTAACAGAGCGATGCTTCCCCCGCAGCATGTCTTGTCATCGAGAAAGTGAATGTTTTCTAGCTGTCATCACTGTTGGGCTCCTATGGGGCTGGCTAAGCACCTTCAGGTTTCCCAATCCCAGCGTGCTTGGGCTGGCTGGGGGCTGATCCCTTCGTCCCCCTCAGCCCCGGGTGCAGCCCGGGCTGGGCAGCAGGCAGCCAGCCTCAGAGTGGCCGGACAGATTCGGGTCCCAGTGGTGAGTCCTGCAGCTGGTGGGGCTGAGCCCTGCAGCAGACCTACCCAGCACAGCTGGGCTGAGTTTCTCTCTGGGTCACGTAGGTGCCTGAGGCAGTGGCGGAGGAGGCAGGTGAGAAGGAGGAGGGAAGTTAGGGGGACCAGCACCCCCACAGCAATGGCAATGGCCGGTGCCACGCTGCTGTCCAGACCTGTGGGGAAAGAAGGGGGTACTCAGTTTGTGTAAGAAGGGGAAAAAAAAAAACAACAACCAAACCCCATTGCAGACCTCTCTTGGCCAGTCCCTGGAGTGGGACAGGGTGGATAGGGGCACTGGGAGCGCATGCCGGCATGCACACAAGTGGCACTGCCAGCAGACCTGTGTTTGGGGTCTGATGCTGTGGTCGGGCACACAGCACCCAGCCCCTCCGAGCCACCCAAAGCTGGCACATTGTGTTGGTGCATCAGGCTACATGACAGGGAAACCCTACGAGTCCTCAGCAGAGGCGGGGAGGCTGGAGCACATCATGGCACGCCAGGGACATGACAGGCAGTAAGACATTGTATGCCATCACCCGGGATGTCTGGCTACTCCTCAGCACCTCCACTGTCCCTCCCTAGCCCAGACCTGGCTGCTTTTCCAAGTGCCTTCCCCACCTGCCTGCCAACTCTTGGAGGAGTTTCTGATCTACCCCAGGAGGTGCTTCATGGTGTCCTCCCTACTCCAGGGCAGGAGCAGTTACATACTGACCCTGTGCCAGGCTGTCAGTGGGCAGGACCAGGGTCACGTTTAGAGAGGGATGTTGGATCATGCAGGCAATGGGGTACTCCTGAAGGATTTTGGGCTGGGCGTGGGTGAAATTGCTGATGACAGTCACGGTCTGGTTGCCGAGCCTGATGTGGTACTCCCTTGGTTTCTGCTGCAGGATGCTGGGAAGGCGCCAGGTGATTTTTGGAGCAGGCTTCCCTGTTGCCGAGCAGCTCATCCCCACCACGTTCTCAGAGTCCTCAGTTTTGTCTGGACTGGGTATAAGCTTAGCCTCCACTTTGGGGTTCGAGATGGCTGTAAACACAAAGAGACAAAACCCATGACGTTCCACTCATGTTTGAACAAAGAGCATCTATATTTACCATTGAAGGACAACCTTGGTATCGAATCATGCCTCCCCCTCCCTAAAGCCCCAGCAGAGACAAATAAACATGGAAATGAAGAGTTTGGCAAAAAAAAAAGGACAAGAGGGTAGAAGCATCTGTGTTTCAATTCTGTTATTAGTAGCAGCACTGCAGCATCCTAGCTGAGAAGTGGTGATTATGGACGAGTAAAAAGCAACAGGTAGTGAAACCATGAAACCACATCCTCCTGTCTCTGAAAGGGCTTGACTGCTCCAAATTCTTGTTCTTTTCCCTTAAATGTGTCTGCAGGATTAGCTTTATTACTGCTAGACGTTCAGACTTGTGGACCAAAGGACTAAGTGCATCTGTTTATGCAATACAGTAACAGTGAATTTGTATGTGGTTACACCACAGGATTTCACCTGTGGAGGTTTTGTGCTTGTACAACTTTCTTCCCACTAGTATTGGGTTTTGGGGGCACTATGGTATCTCTCAAAGCCCTTATTGAAGATCATTTGTTCTGAGCTGCTTCTCACCCTAGAAGATTTGCGGATGCTGTTACATTTAGTCTTAGCAAGAAGGATGAACTACAGGCATCATTCATACTTACTCACTCACATGAAGCCTGCTTGTTTATATGAACTGTATTTCACAGAATCACAGAATGGTCAGGGTTGGAAGGGACCTCTGGAGATCATCTTGTCCAACCCCCCTGCCTAAGCAGGGTCACCTGCAGCAGGTTGCACAGGACAGCATCCAGGCGGGTTTTGAATGTCTTCTTGGCAAGGAATAAAGAAAGGGGAGGACCACAGGAAGCTGTTTTCAACCTGATTAGAACTCCAGGGCAGATCTGAACACATCTATCCCTGGTGGAGAATCATCTATTTATTCCTCAGCCATAAAATTATACCATAATTTAGGTCAGAAAGGACCTCTGGAGGTCATCCAGTCCAAGCCCCAGCTCAAAGCCAGTCTAATTAGCTCAGTTTGATCAGACTAAGATCTATAAAGGCATGTAGCTTCTTTGGGGAGTGCAATCCACAGGTTTCCATATGGCAGCTGACCAGCCTGCCTTCTGCCTCAGCGCATGTGCTGATGGCATAGGGGTTCAAACCACACTCTACTTACAGCAGCCTGTTTCTAAGAGTATTACTTTTTTTAACCATTTAAGTGCAGTGGCAAATCTAGTTTCATTTAAGTCTGAGTTACTATGAATGCTCCATGATTAAAAATGTATCTATTACTATATTTAGTAATATTCCATGTGTAAATTACTATTTACATAGCAAAAATAGTGGTCAGCACAATATTTATGCTGAAATTAAGTTTTGTCCCAAAACTAGCAAACTTATCACTATAATTTAGCAATCCTACTTTTAAACAAAAAAAAAATCTGGTTATTCTTAGGATAAATGATTCTTTTTCCTTTTGGGAAGTAAATGAAGATTTACATATCAATGAGGTGTAGAAGACACCGAATAATCCTGTTAAAGGGGAAAAGGGCTTGTGCTAGCTAGATGCATACTGGTACCTATAACCTCCTGGTACAATTCCAGATGTACCTCATCTGGATCCTCCAAGCCCTAACTACCAGAAGGTAGAAGCAAGACATTGTATACCATTAGTTTTGCTTTTTGTTGTTTTGTTTTTTGTTTTTTTTAATGGATAGACCTCCCTTATTTTCTACTATCATGCCTGCCTAGAAAAAAAAAAAAAAAAGTGGGTATTTCTCATTTTTTGCATCACCCATAGGCAGAAACTCAATCCCCACTAGTGTTGCTCTGACAGCAACAAGAAAAATGTGTAGGGGGATTTCAGCTGGAACTTCTCAAAATCTCCCATGTATGAAAATACAAGTGTCACAAACAGTTTATGTTTTGATTAGTAAATGAACTCTGAACTTCTTCTTTTGCTCACGGGATGCATAAAAATAACACAGCCACCCACGACATTAGCTTCAAATATTAGCTTGCAACATCCAAGAGCAGTAAAGGAAAGCTGTCGCAGAGGTTTCCAGAGGGGATGAGAAAAATTGCTCAGTATCTTGGTAGAAACACATGCACTCCACATCTGCTCTTCTTCTGACTAAGCAGTCCTCTCTCTTCTCACATCGGGCCCCAAGGAATGATTACCATGTGAAAAAAATCCTGTAGGGTTGAGCTTCCCCCCCAGCAAGTGTCTGTAATAGATGCACAGTCAAAACCAGCAAGTGCTTGCTTTTGCCGTACAGTCACACTACACTGTTTGTTAGCCTGCACCCACTGTTGATGTTTGATGCATACGCTTAAGTTAACTGCATCTTTTGTCTTTCACCAAAATATTTGTTTCCTGTAAAAAAACGTACCCACAAGAGATGTTGTGCGCAAGTGCTTGCATTAGTAGCTCTTGCAGAGCAGTAACACAAACGTTCCCAAATTCGAGCTGTGGCGGTGTTCCCGAGTATTTGAAAAGGGGGCTTTATAGTGAAGTACATCAGCTTTGATTATCTGTAATGGCCTTCTGTAATTAAAGGGGGACTGTCAGGTCAAGATGTGCTCTTCATGTTTGAAGTCTTGATAGTGGTCTCAGAGAGACTGACAAAAGTTTTTAGGGATTCCAGTATGCCTCATGATGACAGAAAGCCTTTTCCAACCATGTGGATGTTCATCAGCAACCCCGTGCCTCAGTTTCCCTGTCCAAGAAATAGTGATGGCATTTCTCTGCTGTTCTCTAGCCTTCCATGTGCATGGTGCCCTCTACAATGAAGGCAGAAGGATCCTGAAGACAGCTCAGCAAGCACCCGGGGGGTTTTGTAACCCATCAAGTCTCGGCTGTTCTTGTGCGGGGACATCCCCCTCTCTATGTACCTGCTAACTGTATCTCCTTCCTGGGTTTCATTCTCATCCTCTTTGGTGATGAAGGTTGGCAAAACATTTCCAATGCACAGCAGAGGGGGAAGGGGAGCAGGCCATTCAAAAGAGACCTGTCAAGCACACTTGAAATGATGCTGTTCCAAAATAGTTTTCACTGCAGGGTTGGAAATTTCTGCTTCTTCTTGGGTTTGCTTGGTTTTCAGCCAGGCAAGTCTGAGATTCCTCCAGTCATACCTGTTTCTTTTTTCACAGTGTGGTACCCAGTTCTTAGGCGGTTTCACTTCCCCTCATCACGCAGTGACGGTGCCCGTCCTGGAACAGCCCCTCTTGCGAAGGCTGTTGTAATCGGGCAATTACCAGCTTGTAAACTCCCTGGCAGTCCCCTCTTGAGGGCAAAGACATGGCAGCGTTTCATTTTCAGCCAGTGACTCTGTAAGCCAGCTTGCTCACCTTGCCCTGAATTTTTGGGCCTTGGGACATTCCTGCTGCCCTCACCCTCTGTCCCAGCGAGTCCTCGGGGCTTATTCAGACAAGTTGTTCCTGTCATTATGAGTTGGGGAATAAAGGAGTAAAACTGTGGCTTTTGAGTAGCATCACATAAATTAGCTCCAGTGAAATATGCCGTATGTGAATCAAAATCTTGCGTCACAGTACCGAGCGCTTAGTTTATTCCTGAGTGCCCTCCAGGACATGTTCGATAAAGCACATTTCTGGGAGGCCACCATGACCCTCGCGACCCAGCCCCTGGCAGTGGCCCACCATCGCGCACTGGCCCAGCAGGAGCAGTGGGTTTATGCCTGCCCCTGAGAGAAGTGAAACCCTTCTCAGCTGGTGTGTTTTCATCTGAGATGGAGGAAGAGATGCTCGCAGGAGTGTGTGTAGCAGCAGAAAACCTTTTTTTTGTTTTCAAGCAGTGCTCTGCTAAAGGGCAAATCATAGTCACAAGGCTGGTAATTTGGGGAAATATTTCCCCTCTTGGATAACAAAAAACCCAAACAAATCAACAAAACAAAATAAATCTAACTCTGTGTTTAGGTTTACATGATAAATGAGAAAGGGATCCCTCTGCAAGGCACTTCCATATTTTCCTGTAACGTATAAATCAGTGTTTACCCTCTGAATGACTCAGGGCTGGGTGTTTTTAGGAACACCTTCCTCTTCGTATCTGAAATACGGAGTGAATTTCTCCTGATTTCTCTCTTCTGCTCTAGGAGCTTTCCAAAGAGAGAGGAAAAAGAACTTTTGTTCCAGACTTGGTTTTCCCTCGTATTTCCCCACCGCCTTTCCCCTATTGCTTAAGTCATCTTTCCCCTGTAAGCCAGGAGCAGCTTTTTTTCCACACGGAGGACTCCTGGCACATGGGTATGTGTGTGGGCATGCCTGTCTTTGTCAGCAGAAGGTAGTAGAGATAAACAAAATACTCTGCAGGGGTCATACCACCATCTGCATGTCCCAAACACTGATGTTTCCCCATGAGACATGATCTTCAGTCAATGTCCCCACAGCACAGTAAATGATGAGAAAGTCAGGAGCTAACAGGGTGTCCTCAGGCTGTGTTTAATGTCTCAGCTTTCTCACTGGCAGAACAAGGCCCTCCCTCAAAAGATAAACAGCTTTTCCCTCTTGTTGCTTTTCAGTTCATCTATTTGTCTATATTTCAGCTTGTACTTGCTAGCTGACAATTGTCAAATATTGCCCCCTCGACTCATGATTTGCTCTGACTCTCTTCTTGAAGCTCATTGATGCTGACCTGCACAGCATATTCATGTGGCAAAGCATGAATACCTTTCTTGAACCCAGCCTAACCACTGTCATTTTTACTATAGCTTCAAAATCAGCTACTCTGGTCATGCATATGCAACTCTGCCTCTTGAATGTTTTGGTTTTTTAAAACCGAAGGCAGAGTGAAAAAAAAAATAAAATGCCCGATTTCCAGGGTTAGGAGGCAAGAGCAGCAGCAAAAGGAAGCAGAGGAGCATGGGGTTCAAGGTCGCAGCAGGCCAGCTGCCAGCACAGCACACGGCCAGGGAAACTTGGAGGAAGTCATGGGTGACGCATCAGCTTTTGGATCTCGCTGTTGTTGACTTAAAGGGGAAGAAAATTAAAGAACTGTTAAACGCTGGTTTCCCATCAGAGGTGAAACCAGAGAGAGAGGGAGAGCTGGAGGGGAAGCAGGGCCACCTTTCCCGCAGCAATTTAGCAATGACCAGTGGTCAGGGAAGGTTTTTTCCAGGGAAAATAACTTAGTCCTCAGATGACAGCCCATGCACAATTTTGATGCCTTACCGTAAACTTTGAGACACATCCTGCCGGTGACAGCCCCCGAGGGGAACGTGTTAAAGATGCACTTGTAGCATCCTTCATCTTGGAGGGTGACTCTATGAAGGGAGATAGCCGAAGCTTGTAACTCACTGTGGGCAAAGCTCACATGGCCAACGTAGCCCTTCGCAATCTTTTGGCCATTCATTGTACTGTAAGTCGCTATGTTGTCTTCAACCCCGTCCACCTCCTTCTGCCAGGTCACCTGTAGGACATCTTCTTTTGTGACTGACCGGCACGAAAAAGTAACGTTTCCTCCTGCCTGGATTGACTGGACCTTTCTGTGCATCACCTGCACAGAGCCTGGAGGAAAAACAGGTGCTGCACTCAATGTTTCTCACCACCCTTCTGCAACACACCCCCATCAGAGGTCCCTCAGCCCCTCACCCTCCCTCCTGAGCAGAGCAGCTCCAGAGGGTCTCTCTGCCCCTCCATCCATGGAAAAAATGAAAATGCAGCTCAAAAGAATTGCCCTCAGAATTCAGCTGGACCTGACACCTCTCAGACAAAACCTGTCACCAGCCTGATACCTGTGCTGTAGAGAGTGCCACCAAGAAAGGCAGCTCCAGTGTCAGGAGTGATTGATATCTGTCTGCTAAGACTGTTATCCCACAGGCATCCATGGAGAGGTTCCCTAAATGTTCAGCCATGCTAATGCCCAAAGAGCTGCCAGTGCATTATTGCTCTCTGAACCCTCTTGCGGTGTGGTGAGAAGGAAATCAGTAAAGCTGATATAAATTCTTACATGTATTGCTATAGATAGTGCATCCACATTTGTCAGAGGCTGACAAGAGAACGGAAAACCAGAAGCAAAAAGCAAGGTAGGGAGGACCAGAGGCAAACTTCATCTGTCCTGTCTCAGGCTTGAGGCTGTGCAGCTGGGAAACAGCTTAGACCCCGCTGAAAGCCCACAGATGGAAAACTTTCATAGCATAAGTGCCATGGTATTGAAGGTCTCCAGGGGAAAGAAAAAAAAAAAAATCAGTTTCGTCTTCCAGTTCACAGACACGTGGAAAAACTATTAAGGGGGCAGGCAAGCAAAACGGATGCCCCTGGATTTGACAGCTCACCTCCTCCTCTTAGGATAATAGTTTTTAAAGTTTGTTTGCGTACATCAGCACGGGAGGGGAGATATCAGCAGGGACCGTTACAGCACTGAAAACATACAATTCAATTAATAAGAAAGGGAAATATCTTTGCAGGTTTTAAAGAGGAGTGAGTGTCTGCTCTGTCTGCAGTACCCAGTTATCTAACCCACCCGACAAAGCTCACTCAGGTCCTACGGCCACGGCCAGGTAGATCTCTGCAGGAGACCAAGAAAGCAGCTGTGAAGCTGTGCCAGTCATTTTGTTTTTCAGAGCTCAGTAGTGCCATAGGCAGAATACAAGCCATGACCATGGAAGCTAGTTTGAAGCAAATCCAGGCTTTTCTACATGATTTTTAATTACAAAAACAAATGTAACACACCGACAGTTTTAGTGGCCTGAGCAGACACCTACAAGCACCATGTCCATCACTATAAATAATTCTGTCTTGGCTAAAGCAAATCAGTGCCATACTCTGACCCAAATCCCAACCACCGCAGAAGATGAAATCAAACTTCAGTCCTATGGGTCATTGGGAGCGTTTGGGCATTTGCCCGGTTTATGGTTTGCAAATTGCAATAAATCCATATATCTGTGTGCAGCTTATATATGCGCTGGTGGTAAATTAAGGAGAGGATGCTGCCAGCGCAACCAGCGGTGACATGTCTGGGGCCCCACGCGAGTGGTGCAGTCGCGTGCAGCGCCACAAGTTCCCTGTCACCGCTGGGCTCACCCCGGGGGGATGCGAGGGGGGGACACTCAGCAGCACAGCAGCAGGCTGATGAGACCACCGAGGTCCCTAACGCAGTTACAGTAACTATACAGACAGACAGGCAGACAAGGGAGTTACCTGATGCCACGGTCCAGATGCTGGAGAGGAGCAGACAGGCGACCATCATCTTAGCTGTGCTCTCAGCGAGACAGGCGAGCGACCGATCCTTCGAGTGTGGCTTCCCCTTTTTTATACTCTTCGCTTGTACTCTAGGGACATTCCCCCTCCCTGCGCATACGGTAAGAGGCATCTCGTAAAAACCTCCTGCCCTCCAGCACTCAGACGAATAACAAAAATTTCGGGGGATGTGACAACAAATCTCAGAGCCAGAAAGCGAAGATTTCCCAGTTGGGCTGCTAGACAGACAGGGGTAACGGGGTTACAAAGCTGGGCTTTCCACAAGTACCTTTTCAATAAGACTAGCTTTTTGCAAGTGCTGAAATAAAAGCCCAGGCTTCTAAGCGGGCTGAGTGCCTGATGCCCGTCAGTCTGCAAGGGGCAGGAGGAGAGGCCACCCTAGCCCTGACCTGAGCTCAAGGAAAGGAGCTCAAGTCAAAAGTCATGCTGCAAAGAGGAATATAAATGTCCCCAACATGTAACTCAGAGGACCCAGTTAGGGCTCTGAACCCCACGTGTAAATCGGTGGAGACCCTGGACCTGTTGATGCTGCTGTAACGCAACACTTCTTCCAGGTGAGGAGACCAGAGCTAGCCAGGTGCCCAACCCTGGGTCGAGGTCATACGTTACTTTGGGGAAAAAGCAGAGCCTTGGTCTCCCTTCTCCTACACTGAGGTTGCCCCCACTTCTGCAGGTTCGTGCTCCTTCCCCAGCTCCATGCCTGGGAAAGACAGGGCTGCCGTCTGGCAAACACACCCCTCTCCGCCCTCACCTGAGATGATATACAAATAGCTCACACAGCTGCTTTGAGTCATTGTTTTTGTGCCTTTTTCGCTCTGTCATTTTTACACCTGTCTTTCTCTTTTTCTGCTGGCTGTGATCACGTTGCTGAAACCGACAAAACTCTCAGCCCACGGGTCACTCGCGCACTGCACAGTGGGGCAACCGGCTGGCGAGACCTCATTTGCTAATCAAACCTGTAAACTGTGATTCAGGTTTCTGCTTTCTGATTAGGCGGCTTACATTTTTGCAAATTCTTGCTACTCCAAATGACTATGATTTCATTACATTTTTTTTCTTTTAGTTGAGTTGCTGCACAGATTAACCTTGAATCATGCAAATAAGTTGAGGGAAGCCAATGGGCCCAAATCATGACGTGGCGAAAAAGATTCTCAGATGTGCTTACACATCCACAGTTCCTTCTCATCTCTCAAGGGGTAATTAATCACATGAAAACAGAAACAGCCCAAGTATCAGTGTTCTGCTAAAGAAACATTTTGGATGTGCTTTTGAGTAGGTTCAATAATTCATTCCGATCACTCTGTAAACTGCAATTGCTTCATATTATTGTCTTTTTCCTTTGAGGTATCACATCTCATTTTCTTTTTCTTGAGTTATTTTCGCAGTTGCATTTTCCTGCAAGACTCCTGGAAGGGAATTCTGGCCTGACCAAAATGTGAAATCAATGAAAAACGGTTCTTGTGGGGTTTGCCAGACCATTTTACAGCTATTAAGCAACACAAAGAGCTCAAATAGGCTCTGGACCAAGTCAGAGGGAAAACTGCCAGCCTTGAAATGGAAGTTCACAAACGGACATTTAATTTCCAATTGTCAGCCTCTCAGAGCTTCCAGATCTGAAAAAATAATTGAAAATTTGCTGAAACTGTGTCCTTTTGCACCAAAGCCTCCTAGCAGGGTGCGAGTGATCTCTGCAAAGATTCATTCCAGGCTTTGCTGGTGTCCTCACCTGAGCTCTGCTGCAATTTTGAAACAAAAGATGAACAGAAGAACTTTCCATAAGCTTGCAGACACTGTTGGTGAAATCTTCATAGCTGAACTTCACCACTTAGTGATCAAAAAAGGAACTGTACTTGATTTAAAGGAGAACTGCAAGCCCAGCTGATGTGTTTTTTTTCCTCATAGGAAATGTTCTTGTCAGCTTTAACCATTTTATTTTCTGCCAGAAACACTCTAATCTTCCAAAAGTCCTCCCAAACAACCCTGAAAACCTGGGTGCTGCTACAGCAAACACTTTTCAGTAAAGAGCAAACCTTCAGTCTTAGCACCATCCAAGCAAAGGATGGAGATGGCTATTGCAGTTGGACAAATGTGTTGACTTTAAATTGTTTACAGCATCCTCTGCCTGGTGATAGAGAGCCGTGCATGCTGGCTGCTCCTTCCAGGCTCTGTCTCTGCCCTGACAGCTCCTGATGCCACAGGGAACCCGGGCATGCCGCGACCCCCTCCCAACCCATGTGTGTGGGTGTTTGCATGCACACCTGACTGCTGCAGCATCTCTTTTGACCCACCCCCCCTTCCTCCAGGGACCAGCCAACATCAGTATTTGATTCACTACTATAAACATAAGGCAGGCAGGAATGTGAGGTCCACTCATTAACTCCACCGCTTATTTCAATATTATGAAGGTATCTTTAAGGGCATTTATTCCAACAGTTCCTCATCTGTTCATCTTTGCATAGACTTCTGGTGGATTACAAACCTCCTCCTTACTTGTCAGTCAGATCCCATGCTCTCCTGCTTCAGCTGCACAGCAGCTTCATTTCTGAGAATTACACACCATGCCCGAGCTTCAGGCCCTTCCCAGAGCCAGTGAAAGTTTGGGAATAAATTAGGCAGAAGATAGTTCTGAAAACATTGCTTGAAAAACCCAGTGATTCACATTCTTCCCTTCATTTCTGCTGCACTAGGATGGTCTCTCTAGTTCCCAGTAAATCAGAAAACGACATACAGGAATTAATTGTACAGTCACTAAATGACAACATTTCCACACAGCCCAAGTGACTAATGATATAGATAAATTGCCTAGCTGAACTTCTGGAAAACACTGCCGACGGGACCCACTCAGGCACAGTTGTAGTCTAAAACATTGTATTGTCAACTGTCAGTCTAAAACATTGGTTTTGCAACCATCCAAACGCAGGTTAACAACCGAGTAGCTGCCTACCTCGACAGCAGGACTCAATGCTGCCTCTCAAGGCATTGCCTGTAAAGAGAACAAAACAGAGGGACATGGTTTCATCCACTGCTGAATTGTAGTGACTTTTGGAGGTTGGTCCGTCAGTACTAGTAGTAGGCACCAGTATTGGGAAGCAGCTTGTCAGATGCAATTGAGCAGGCCTGGAACTTTATAACATGTTCACAAATAATGCCTGCATACGGCAAATCCCTCTACATCTCGGCCTGATTTGGAGAGCTGCAGTACACTGGGGCATCTACTGACGTACACTCCATCCTGCGTCACTGCATCGGGGCGGGCTGCACCAGGACCTGCAGCCAGTAGCCAAGGGATGCTGCAGGACGAGGCGATGCGCGTTTGAGCAGGGTCACAGACAAAGTGTCATGTTTGTGCACAAGCCTTAGATCAGACGGCACAAAGGTAGTTTGTACGCAGCCACAGCTCTTTATCCTCGGTCGTGGTTGGCTTGGAGGTGTTTGATCTGTGATCTCTTCGCAAACGGGGCTCCCTCCCTCTGCTATCGCACTGCCCTCAGCTGTAAAGGACTGCAAGTTGCAGCCACCAGTGCTGAAATCCGTTGTGGGACTGCCTAGCAAAGTGCAAAAGAGAAATGAAGGAGGGGGCTGCTTAGCTGAGACGTAGCTTGTGGTAGTGTACATCTAGCCGCAAAATCCCACGTCACCAGGGGACAGCACATGCTGTGAAACTGTCCAGTTAACTACCTGACACTTTTTACCTCTGTATTTTGATAAAATTGCTGCAGACAACTGAAGTCTTACAGAGACTTTTTTTTTTCTTTTCCAGCAATGTACTGCAATGACAATGTGTGAATTAAAACATACTTATTCCCTGAACCATCAGCCCTGCAAATTGCATTTCTGGTTCTTCTATTTTTCTTCTTCCTTGTAGCTCAGGAGGAAGAAGAAGGGATAAAAAAAGACGATAAGGAGAGAAGGAAGCAAAACCAGATTACATTGTAAGGCTTCAGTAACAAAGGCCGTGCGTTGTTGGGGTTTGAAGTGCTTGGATTTTACCATTTGGTTTGTCACACCATTTCGCAGAAAAGCTTGATGGCCAGGCATGTGGTTTCCTCTTGCCGAGAGCGCCCCAAGTTGCTATGTCAGTCGAGGGATCCTAGAGGGAGTTCATGCTGCAACCTGCTAGTCACTTTATGGAGGCCACCAGCAGCAGCACGCCCTTGCCGGCCCTGGTGCCCCAGGAAGCCACGTCACCCATCCATTCCCCCCTCCTCTTCCTCTCCCACCCCCACTCGACAGTGCTTGCCTGCAGTAGAGGCTTTGGGTTTGAGGTTTGGTTTTTTAGGTGCACAATATCTGGGTGCTGCATACATGTACTGTGCGAGAGATAGAGCCTCTTTGGTCACTGAGTTTCTCTCTGTAACACAGCCAGTACAGAAAACAATTCAGCCAGCAGGGAAACCACGCCAACATTGGCTACCTAAGGGTGCAGAGATCCAGTGGAAGGATGGGAAACTGCCTACCGAAAATAAGGTAGGTTCAATACCATTTTATATTTGGTTACTAAACAAGAGGGCTAAGAAAGTTACTTTATGAAAAATAGGATTAAATTATACCTGCAGTGACTCAACCTTAAGGCACCACAAGGAGCCTCTTTATTAAACAAAGATAATTTAGCAAGCAAATTAAGATGAACAATATTGGTCTTCACATGTCAAAGAGTGTTGCCTCGGGATGTTTTTTATGGAGGTGACTTCATCCGTAGGCTGCCAGCACTGAGAGCCTGTTGCAGGAAGCGTGTTACAGGTGAGGAACACAAGGAGCAGAGCATACTTGTCATCTGCTCCAGGTTTTCAAGCAGGAAAACTACACTTAGAGGTTCACCTTGCCACCTCTTATCTGTTGGCACTGTGTCTTATAAAGACAACCTTTTATATACACTGTATATATAAATAGATTAAATTATACAACATATTTAAATGGTGTACATGGTATATATAAATACACTATAGTAACGTACAACAGTGGTGAGGAATAGATTGCCTCCTAAGGAGA